TATATATATATATATATATATATATATATATATATATATATAAGTATATATATATATATATATATATAAAATAATCCACAATGAGTCAATAATATAAATTATTCTGTAAATAACATTTAATCCTTATCCTCGACAATGTAAAAAAAAAAATCTTTTTGTTTTCAAGCATCAAATACATTTTTTCTATATTGGTAATTTCACAGAGAAATCATTAAGATATTTTATCATCAGCCGTTGACATGGCAGCAACTGATGAGGGTTACGCTAGTGATGTGATGCAGTCAATGTGGAGGAAATGTGAATTAGGAACGTGACATTATTGTTGATGCCAGATGAGTTGCTCTCAATAATTAAAAATTAAAATTCAGGGTCAGTCTTTGCCAAGCTTGGAGGTTGTTAGTATGAATTTTGGCCCTGGCTGGGGAGTGTTGAGTGAGACAAAGAGACAACACTGCTGCTTTAACAGTATTGTTAGCGTCTGCAATGTAATTAACGTTCAGTAAAAGCTGGGATCCATCCTGTTCTGTATAAATGGTTCCGGCTGATGCTGCTTTTTTTTTTTTTTGGCACGATGAAGACTGTTGATAGCAATATAACACTGCTAAATACCTCAGCTGACCTGAGTATTGCTGCTGATCGCGTCCTTCCCTTTATGACTATAACGTTATATTTTTCTCACAGCCAGTTACAGCTGGTCCATCTCCATGTCACAAAGCTCACATCATATCTAAAAGATTTGCTTAAACATAAATAAACAACCTCTTCATGTCCTTATGATGATTTTGTTATGACAACATGGACCAGAATCTCTAAGGAATACTTTTGTATTTTTATTAAATCTGTGCCATGAAGAAGCAGGCCTTATAAAAATAAAATTGGCTCATAAATGTACTGCAGTAATCTGCTGCTTTCTGTGTAACAGAATGCTCTACAACCAAGGTTTTCAACATGGGGTCCGCAACCCTTGGGTGGTACATAGAGGTATGGGTACATACAATTTCTTCGTTATATAAATACAGTTTTGTGTTTACAATAAAAAACAATAATATGTGTAGGCCTGTGTTACTGGAATACATGGGTAAAAAACTAAGGCAAATTTATCCCTGGTCCAGTTTGTAGTTCTTAGGCCTGAAAAAGTTTGAAGACCTACTGTATATCCTGTCTTACTCTAATGGTATGAATGTACATGTTCAAATTTCTGATTGTCTTTTTGACCCTTCCACCTTATCTTCCTTCAGGGAGGGGAAATACGGCCATGCAGCCTGCTTTGGGCTCCAGCCTGGCTGCAGAGGACCTGATGGAAAACGCAGGCTTCCTGTTGCAGCTATGGTTGCCAACTTTACCAAACCCAGAGAAGGCTGGCCCTCTCTCCTGCAGCACCACGAAGTTGAGACTTATTTCCATGAGTTTGGGCATGTGATGCATGAGCTCTGCTCTAAGGTATACAGTTTAAGTCATCAGCAGGTAAACTCTATTATATTTTTAATTAAAGCAAGATATGGCAAATTCTCTGTTGTGTGCTTCAGACAACATTCTCGGAATTTAGTGGGACCCTGGTGGAGACGGACTTTGTAGAAGTGCCCTCACAAATGCTTGAGAACTGGGTTTGGGAGAAGGAACCTCTGAGGAGAATGTCTCGACACTACAGAGACGGCAGCCCGATCCCGGATAATTTGCTAGAAAAACTGATTGCCTCCAGAGTGGCCAACACTGGTCAGAGACTTGACGAGACTTTAAGAGATGTTCGGTACCTAAACGCTTTCTGAGTGTACAAAGTCACAAAGATGTTTTTCATTTCGTTCAGGTCTGATGAACCTGCGTCAGGTCGTCCTCAGTAAGGTGGACCAGTCGTTACATACCAGCTCTTCAGCAGATACAGCAGACGTGTTTGCTAAGTATTGTGAGGACATCCTGGGTGTTCCTGCTACAGCCGGTTAGTGACTTGTTGTTGAAATGTTACCAGGTTTATATTATGGGAATATATATAATAATTTATTTTATTGAATATATGAACAGTATATGGTTATTAGTGCTGTCAAAAAGTTTTAAAAAATTCAATTTGTTTTTGCACTTACAACAGCTGACCAATAGGCGGCAGTGTAATGCATTACAAAGTCCATTGTAGTAGCCTGTGTGAAACTTTGACATTAAGATGCATGCACACAGAAATACAGTTTTCAAATAGCTGTTCGATGTAGTGACCACTATGCGTGAAAGGGTTAATCACGGGGTAGCTCTAGATTAATCCCGATTAATTGAGATAAATCAACATCAGTAAACTTGACCAAAAAAAAAAGGAAAAGTAAATTGCTGGAAAAGAAAGAGATATAACAGCAGGTAGATGTGTGTTTTCCACACCTGTTTTTATTTGAAATTATTTTCAAAATACATAATTGCCTCATTGTGCTGTAATTTCTCTACAGGCACAAACATGACGGCCAGTTTCAGCCACCTGGCTGGAGGATATGATGGTCAGTACTACAGCTATCTGTGGAGTGAAGTCAACTCTATGGACATTTTCTTCAGTCGCTTCAAAAAGGAAGGCATTATGAATCCCAAGGTTGGTTTTGCATGGCTTGGTTTGAAGGTTTCTGTTTTTATGAACAATGATAATAAAGTTTTTTTCTGCTTCTTTTCTTTGTCCTTCCTTACCGTCTTCACCTCATTCTTCTCAGTCCTCTCCTACACATTCTTCTATTTTTTCTTTTTTTTACCTCCTCAATCTTCATCTTCTTATTATTCTATACATGAGTAATTTTCCAGGAATATGCCAATACATTTTTTGTTTAAAATTAAAGCTTTGTTTTTGTCATCCCACAGGTTGGAAAGGAGTACAGAAGAGTGATCTTAGAAGCTGGCGGCTCTGTGGATGGAATGGACATGTTGGAAACATACCTTGGTCGTCAACCATGTCAGGAAGCTTTCTTTCAATGTAAAGGCCTGACTAAGTCCCATGAAACATAGTTACTGTAATCTTTTTACTTTGTCCAAATGATTGTTTTCAGATGTGTTTGAAGTTAAAAAAACAAAACAGTTTATAGTTCTATAAATATACAGTATATTATTACTTCTAGTATTATAAGTACTATAAGTGTTTATACTTTTTCATTGAGTGTGTGTTCCTTTTTAAGAATAAGATTGACATTTGATACTGTAGTTACAATTATATAAATATACATTTTAAAATAAAACTGTTGTATCATTTTTTAATTTTGTATTTTGTTTTGAGGAAAAATATAAATGTACAAAAAGCAAAGGGAAAAGAAAGTAAAGGTAGTGTAGGTATAAACACTTATGACTCAAATAAAATGTAAAATGTCTATTGACATACAGTACATACTGTATTGTACATGTACCTTAAAACTGTTGCATTCTGCATTTACTTATTTTTCAACTCTTCAGTAAAATTCACTTTAGATTGAGCTAAAGATGAGGGAAAAAAATATGTTGTATAAATACATATATTAAGTATAGGTTTCTCCTACACGTTGTGTATGCCAACTTTACTTAAGAAACTAAGTCCATCCATCCTCGTCATTCCTCTGATTTGTTTATTTACTTAAGAAACTAAGTCCATCCATCCTCCACTAAGTCCATTATCCAGTACACGGTGACAGATGCATTTCAATGTGTACTTGAACTCATTGACCTTTACTAGTTTCCTTACAGAGTAAAAATGTTTATTGGCCACCAGGGGGTGCCACAAGTCAGCAAAAGCCTAAACCTAAACGTAAAGAAAGTGTTATTCGGTATTATTAATATTTTAATGTGCAGTAATGTGTAATATTTATTTTGAATTCACAGACATATTTCGTGAAATGTTCCGAACGGCTGCGTAAATAAATGTATTTATTTTCGGCCGGTTCACGGTACCCTCGTCTGCATTTGACCCCAGAGAGAAAACTGCAGTCAAGCCGATGTATTGTAGAGATACGGGGATGCACTGAAAGTGTTTGGGTGAGATAGTGAAGAAAGCATCATTGCAGGTGGAGGAGGAGCAGCAGCAAAAGCAGGACGACCCGACCGTGAAGCTGGTAAGACGAGTTGTGGTGAAAATACAGACGCCTCCTCCCCCTCGGTGTAGACGCAGAGGTCGCGCAGTAGAAACCCACCGCGACTTCACGCTCACCAGCTCGGATGAAGCTTCATTGCCTTCGGTCTGCCCTGGATGGTTGTGCGAAGAGAAATAATGAATGAAAACATCTGGGTGCTGCGCAGTTTGGAGGAAACGGTTCAACTCTGTCGGAGGTCGTACGCATTTTTCTGCCTTTTTGTATTTCCTTCTTGCTGAATCTCGTGGACATTTTGGATTTCGTTAAATGATCCGAGTCGCCAAGTTTTGAAGATTATAAGGACCGGTTCGGCCACCTTTCAGTCATCCGTTTACTTTGTGAGTCATAATAAGGGAAGCAAACAGTTTTAAAGTGAGAAAACAAGCGGTACAGCATTGAACAACTTAGTGCTGCTGTTGCTGCTGCTGCTGTTCTTCAAGTAGCCAACACAAGCTCGCTGCTAACACTGGCTAGAAAACCCAGAGAAAACCGACTGAAAGAAAAAAACCCACAACGCCCTCAAATGCCCTTTAACTGGAGTTTTATTCTCATAGAAGCATTTTTCCCATAACCGAAGGAACATTAAATGATAAAGTGACTCTACATTAAGCAAGGTAAGTGTCTTTGTTTGTGTTAGTTATCGTTGCCTCTTCGCCTAGGGGCCCCAACAACATGCTAACACCGCTGCTAACAGTGAGCGGCTCTTCGCTCCCATTTTGCTGCTCTCTGGCTGTTTTCTCAAGTTATTACTGTTTAAGCAGTGAACATACGACAGAGAATGTGTTTGTTTATGTTTCTCTCCAGCACGTATGTTCATTTTATTTGTGTATGTTTTCCGAGGGTTACACATTAACAGCTGTATATGATTTTCCATTTTTGGCGAAGGACGCTGACATTTTTCGTCCATTCCGTTGTTTTTAAACTATTGACCGTGCTTTATATTTATATCATTTTATGTTGTATTGTTGTTTAACGAAGCAGCTGCAGTTACAACAACAACAGCTGCTGCTGCAGTCACATCTTTTGTTGCGGAGCACCTTCACGTACCAGACGGTGGAAGGATTACCGCGGTGTTCACTACACATATCGGCGTTTCCTTTCTCTCACCAGCCGCTAATCTGAATTCTGTCCTCCATTTAACTCCAATGGCGTTTAATCCCGTTAAGACGTGACAGGGATATCTGTCTAATCTCCTGATCTGATTTTTGTTTGGGTAAATGTTGGCTTGTAGCGACTCATTTGAAAAGATTGTTCATTGGTTTCCTCTCAGGTAAAGGCTGTCAACAGACACGGTTTCATGCAGCCCCCAGCAACGCAACACACTAAGCAAGGATCTACAGTATATCTCCATTTATAGTCTGAGCCACATGAATATCATCCACTGATACTGTGTGGTTTGAGTCCATCATTGGCTGCTTGGCATTTTATGCCCAGTGTAACGTATAATTTATGTCCATTAAATACCTAAAAATTACATTATTTTAACGAATCATATTTGTGAAGTATCTATATGGATACATATTTAAAAGAGGAATGTGAAAAACCTCCATGCTAACATTCACTCAGTATTTTTTAAAACAAGTAGTTAATGTGTTTTATCCCAAAAATTTGACTTGATAAAATAAGAGATCCCAAACAACATAATAAAAAGGGCTTACCATCTTTCTAAATTCAAAGTAATTGGCATTATTTTGGGATGGGAAACACCTCCAAGTCTATATTCAGACCTGTTTTTGTTCAGGTGTTGAGGCTTGGACTCTGTTTAGGATAAGAACATTTTGAGTAGCCTGACCATTATTGTTATAACCTTTACAGCAAACTGGCCATACATGATAAAGCTGACTCTACAGAAACATCCCTGGAAGCAGAGTGGACAGTGTTGCTATAGAGAGGGATCACACTGTTGTGTGCTGCGAAACAAACACTTGCCAATTATGAAGACAGGTGCTTTTGCTGCATCCTGCTTGTTAAGACACAAAGAGGAATTCTACTGCCTCAAATCTGGCATTGTCCTGTAGGAAAATGACTACAGTATCTGATTAGCTTTCAAAGGACAATTGTGTAGAGTTGATAATAAAAGAAACAAAGACAAGGACTTGCCAGCTGTCTTCTGCATTGTTGTAGGGCCATAATCCAGGAGTTCGTGGCTAGCTGTTTGTCAATTATTAGCCAGGTATTCATGTTACTGCTGACTGGTGGAATGTCATGTAAAACTTTAAGTGTCCAAGCCAGACATTACAAAGGTGAATTATACTTGTGGAGACCCTTAGGGTTAACTGACCATTTATAATTTCTGAGCTAAACATGAACATATATAATCACTTGGAAAATTGCCCATGTTGTTCCGTGGTATTTAGATTGGTAAATAAATTTGTTGACTTGTCTCTTGTGTGTATGTCATATATTGTTGACTTAGAAGGCACTGAGAGGAAGAGAAACCCTTTGCCCTGTGTGTCAACAAGAATTGATGTTTTCAGCCGATCTTGGCTCCAACTAAAACTTTACTGTTTGAACTTAGGCAATGACTCTTACGTTTGCATTGGGTATCTGAGTTAAAAGCATTTCAAGTACACAGTGATGCAAGTTCAACTCCATGAACAAGCTCAATGTTTCAGCGAAATGCAAAACAATTACTAATAAGAACGTCAGCAGTGATTACAGTTTTCTTGCAGCAAAAGTGCTTATACACACTTACATCATCAGTCATGTGACAGGTAGAATTAAGATTTTGGTGTTTCTCATGAATGGATTCCAAGAGAGTTTGTCATGATGATGTTGAGCTATAATACAAAAGAGGAAGAACACAAAACTGTCAAGGATTAGATAAGACACATGGCTTTCCCTTTACCCTCTTAACTGAAAACTCCTTCAAATTGGTACAGATAATTTTGATATGTGTCAGGTTGACCAGATGATAGAATTATCAGAGGTGATAAGTCACATGCACATACTGTACTTAAAATAAACATTCACGAGGCAAGTACACTGACCTTTGCTGTACATGTACAAACTGTGTTTGTGTGTAATTTATTTGCTTTCTGTGCACTATAAGATATTCGGTGAGAACCACATGTCTTTAGGTGTGTCAAAGCCCTAGCACATGATTTCTTTAATGGTAGAATAATCCAGTCAGGGGATCTGCTGCTGCATCAGGTTCAAAAGCCCTTCACACTGCTGTGCACTGGAAAAGACCTTCATGAAATGGTGTTGAACAAATTAGTTGTTATATAAAGTGAATGTCTCATTATCTTGACAAATGGGTTGAGTGTTTATAACAGACTGGCAGTTGATAATGTCAATTTACAACGTGATGAAAGATTTAAACAACTACTTTACCATTATGGTACATCAGCGCTTTATAGATTTTTCTTGGCCTTTTGCCTGCTGGGTATTAAAGAGGTTTAACTGATAGTAAGGTGCTTAAATGTATTGGCCAATCGATAGTGACTTGAATGAGAGTTCTGTCATGTAAAATCAAGGGCTCCATTTAAATGGATTTTAGGAATCTGTGTTTTGATTGTGGAAATATGAACGACGACGAGGAACTTTTGAAAACCATCTGCATTCCTAGATATTTTTTTTGTTTTTTTAAACCTAGTCTTGGCACTAAATATTTTACTTTATGGCTCCGGAGAGCACTAAAAACACTAAAATCATCAAATCCTAATTTATTTGGAATTCTCATGTTTATGTAATGTTAAACTGAAGAGAGAAAGATTCTGACTTCAGCCTGTGAGAAGAGGTCTGTTGTAATAGCACCCACAGATAAGAAGGCGTCATATTATAGTAGTAGTATGCTGGACAATGTCTTTAGGCTGCCAACATTAGATAAGAGGTCCAGGAATTGGGTTGGGTGTAAATGAAGCTATCCTGCTCACAGTAGTAATATAAAGTCTTGTGTGTTTTAACAACGGAAGGTAGATTTTATGTTTTACAAATGTTTGTATTTGTGACTAATCCAAATGATGAAATTATTACTATGAAGAAATGAAAAAACAAAACTATTTAAAAGTACAACTCAAAATGTAACTCATAAAGTTGGTGGATTTCAGTCAATACTGTACATCTGGAACAATCTGAATGGTTTTCCAAGTGAATGAAGATTTTTCATGCAGTGTCCTCTGAGGAATCTAAGGTCACAGGCATTCAGTGTTGGTTTTTGGCCTTGATGAAAACCTGTATACATTTCTCCAGATTCTCTGAAACGTTGGGTGATGTAGACTGTTGTTTACAAATTACTTGGACCTCATTCTTGCGTGTGATTAACTGAGCCCTACAACGCTCCTTTTGTACCAAGTCAGGACACTTGATTGTTACCAATTTACCTGCTCAACCCGGAACGTTCCAAGAAAATGTAACCATCTTTTGTTGCCCAGGGAACCTTTTTGGGAACATATAATAAGAAACTACATTGTAAACAGTAAACCTTAGAACTTTTTTTAACATTGACATTGGCTTAACTCAGAATAAAATGTAACTTTTAATTTAACAAAAAAGTCCAAGGCACACCAATCATGCTAAGAACGAGAGAACATTGATACTTTGAACCCTTATAACCCTTATATAACATATAAATAACCTCTAAAAACATTCATAACGTCACTTTCAGTCGTGCTGCCCACCACCACATTAAAGCTCAGGAGCTTCATGTACTGATGGAGTAGTATAGGACACCTTACAAGAACGTTGTGTCGAGGTGTCCTTCTGACCTATCCATCCATCCATTTTCATCCGCATATCCGTTACCGGGTCGCGGGGGCAGCAGTCTCCACGACCTCCACCTAAATCACACTGCACCGTACCAACCCCCCCTGAACCTTCCTGTGGGTGGTGAGTCCACTGGAAGGTACCAACCGCCCTAACCGGGATTTGAACTTGCCCACGAGGTGAACCTTGGTGAACCACACCAATGACACAGACATTGCCTCTTTTTCTTTAACCTCAATGCTTTAGGTTTCAGATGTTCTCAGAGGTTACTACTATGGCTCTCTGTTTGAAGAAAAGCATAGTTCTGACTGCAATGCCCCATCCTCCACACATGACAACCCCAGTTAAAAAGAAAAAAAAATCAACACTCCTCATGCATTATTCTATTATGTCATGAACAGAACTTTTGTGTGGCATGATTTACTTTCCCAAATGGGATGAGGATAAAGGAACCAAAGAGGAAGTGGAGCAGAAACTAATGAGTGTCAGTGCAGTCCAGTGTGTTTGCAGCTGATGAGGACACTGTAGTGAATAAGTCAAAAGTGTTTCTCTCTTTCCTGTTTTTTTCCCTTCCTGCTTTTTTCCACTTTTCTCTCCCTTCGTTCAGCTCTGTTGTCCTAAAGTATGATGTTTGTGCATGTCTCAGGTACTCTGAGACATGCACAAACACTGCAGTAGAGCCGTGCTCTGACGTGGGAATTTGAGATCAGCTTTTCAAATCTTTTTTTGCTTTTTTGTTGTTGCTCACATTCAGAATTTTGTCAATATCTTTGACTCTGACATGTTTTTTAGCAGTTGATTTGCGTAATAAAGATTTAAGTGTTTGAAACAAGTGGCTTTGTTTGTCCACTTAGGAAAGTTTTTTTTTATTAAATGTCATAAATAATAACATTTTGGTGATGATCTATAGACCATTTACCTTCACACACATGAATTCTGTCCAAAATACTGATTATTACGACTGATTCCTATTTATTAAAAGGATTCATTACTTCTCTTTTTTTAAGGAAAAAAGTGTTGCTAGGCAGGGGATGTGTGTTCTGGCATGTTGTCATATGTCTAAAACACACACACATATACACTTAATTTGATTTAGACTTTTTTTAAGGTTATTTATTTGGTTCACATTAATATGCTAATTTTGTCCTCTGTCACATTTATACTTTAGGTACATCCGTTGTCTGCCATCCACTTGGATCCAGGTCCTTGAATCCTAAATGACAAGGTAAGGCTTTTTTTTTTCCATTTCCGGAATGAAGTCTTGTTTTGTTTTTTGTTTTGCGAGTTGTCGACTGTAATTTGTATGTTACACAGTCATCGGTTTGAGATGTTCCACTGAGGTGTTTAAATGTTAGTTGTTCTTACGTGGTGTCAAACATTAGTCCAAACCTAACAAGAAGCAGCAGGAGTGTCACACCCTGTTCTCCTGGAGGGAGACACATGATACACCTGTCAAACTTGCTTTGTGCAACGTCATCTTATTTCCCCTAGATATGTATTCAGCCCTCATAATTTTGTCAGCATTGCATAAACAGTACATATTTTGTGGCCAATCCCATGATTTCTGATAATTGTTTTATAAACTAATTCTACACATGTCTTTGCATCTACACAAATATCCCAAAATATTGGATAAAATAATAAAATAAAGTTCAGTTTTTAAATAGACAAAGCAGTTAATTGTCTACTATAAATCATTATAGTTGAGTGAAATAATATGAAAGGCCTAGTAAGTATAAGAGTAACATCTTCACTTTACACTAACAGCTTGTCCATACATTGGGCATGTGGCAGTAGCTGGCAGGGATATAGGGATACAGAGCTCTGACCTGAATGTGCTTGACCTGGTTATGGAGATTTGGCAACTGCATCTCATTTCGCCTGTGTTTGTAGCTTATATGGACCAACAGAGTCTGTTCGTCTGAAACATGGTCTTAATTTGTCTTGGGTATTTATCATCATCGATGTGAAGGTTTTGGGTAATACTTTTATTTACCTTTGATAATACTGCCCTCTGTTTCTAAGTTGTTAAAATAACATAACAATACTTTCCAACTCTGGAACTAACCCGGATACATAGAGAAGAAGACCTCGACTATTTATTTTTGGGTTTATTATGAGCTTATTCTATTACCTTTATAATTCAATAGAACCTATATCATGCATGGCTCTGATGTCTACCCTACTGGGGTGCATTGTCTTTGGTCATTCTGTGGAAAGATCTTAGATTGTCAAGTTCCACATATATGCAGGGTTCTTGTTATTTTATCCTGGTTAGATGAAGTTAATCTTTAAAAAAGTGGATGAAAAGATGATTAAAAAAATAATTTAATGACTGCACTTTCTGTTCATCCTAGTCTGCAGCATCTCATTCATGTCAAAATTAATATTTGTACAGAAGTTGTAACTAAATAGAATTTTTATGAATCACCACTTTTCTGAAGACTGTCTGAAGACTAAATCATGCGACTGCGCAGGTTTTCCTTTTGCATTACTATGGAAACAAATGTTTGATGTCAAGTGTCAACTGTGGTGACATTGTCTTGCAATAATACCCTGCACATTTCAGTAAGTTCTCTTGTAGACAGGAAGTGGTTTTCACTTACATAACCTGTAGTTTAAAAAGGTTTTGGCTGCAGAGTGCATTTTGTAGCATACACAGAGGAGTTACCTGCAAGAGCATAAGGAACCTACAAATACATTATTGACAAGGTCATAATTTCACAACCAGTGATATTTTAATTAATTGTTCTCAACACATAATACACTGAATACTCTTTCTCTGTCCGTTGATTGTTTTTCTAGTGTAACATGTTTTCACTGAATAGCGATACTTAATATTTTTTGTATGACGTCATTGTGGTTTCCCATTAGGCACCATAGCAATATCAAGATATCGCCGAGCCCTAACCTGAAATTGTTATTATTACACAAGCATTTACCACCATTAGATGGACCTCATCTCTCTCGTCTTAATTTATATTAGTCTTTAGCAGACATATTTTCAGTTTTCAGAAGACTTTAATATGCTCTCATGTTCTCTTCCCTACTTGGAGTGGAATGTCAAGGTGGGGGTCATGTAACCACACTGTACCTGTCAAACATGTATGTTTTGCTTTTGATTATTGAGATAAGGCTTTGTGATTTGCTACTTTGGCTCTACACCAAGATGTGTCAGTTGTTAATTAAAACAAGCTGGAGAGCTGTAGATTGTGTTATTAACGTTGGCTTCATTAGCTTGAATATTAACCATTCAACAGTGGGGAGGTGATTGGAGCCATGGAGCTGAAGCACAGACACAGTTTAAAAAGAAATACAAAGTCACTCATTTTAAGAGGTATATGGATGAGGAAGGTGTCAGGTAGCATGGAATGTTTGTATATATAGGCAGGTGTATAGAATACTAAATGTGTTACTGGTGTGTATATACTGTATATACACGTATGTGTGTATGAGTGTCTACACGGGGTTGAAAGGAAGACTACTATTCGTTAGCTAAGAAGAAGGGGTGGGAGTTCATAAGTTTTACTTCTTCCCACTCCTTTTTGAATATGCATTCTATGTTGGTCAATAATCAATATGTATTCCTTTTTTCTTTTCATTTTCATATTCGAAATAAACTTCAATCAATCAAGTGATTTTCTGTAGCATCAAAACAGAGCCCTCTGTTGTACAACTATCAACATTGTCATTTTGGCTTAAAATATTGGTCTCCATGAGACATTTTTATTCCCATTTTATTCATTTCACAGAGTTTCAAGTTATATAGAATCTTAACAATCATGAACTTAACAGGTAATTCAAAGCTCTATATCTGTTCCATGTGTCAGTACATGTTATTCTCTGGATTATCTAAGTATAGTAATGTTGTTTTGAGTCATGTGGTCAGTGCAGTGTTTCCAATAGGATTTTTATTAAGCCTTTCTATTTCTGTCGACAGTCCTATTAGATGAGAGAAATCTTTAATTACCAAACTAAACACATGTGCACATATAAAGAAAGAGAGCCGGTGAAGTGTGGAGGGGGTTCATTTGGAAATGTATTCCCTTTGTTTGTCAGTGTAGAGCAACGGGAATTTTTTTAAATTAAAGTATTGGCTGCAGCCACTTTGAATCTAACTACAGTATGGTGGTCAACTTTGAGTTATTATGTTTATTATATAACTGAGCACTGTCACTGTCCACTACCCTGTTAAAATGCCATTCAGCTGCAGTTATCTGCATAAACAGTATGCGATTTCTTCATTAGGCTTTTTTTTTTTATCACAAGGAGGTATTGGAAATCCCCTGCACCATGAGACCATTGAATAAAAAAAATCTTTTACTGAAGTTGGTTTCAGTCATAGGTCTGGCAAAATAGCCCTTAATGTAAGAGTTAGTTAATGTAACACTCAATATCAAAATGATTTTCTATAGATAATACATTAATAATTATAGTTTGATATCTGAGACATTATTGACTTGACCCATGTAAGGCACTGTCGTGTGTGTGTGTGTGTGTAGACCACGCGCAACCAGTAGTGGCAAAGTGTGTAGAAACGCTTTTCTGCATTTTTCTCTTTTAATCCTTGTTCATACTCTTTTTGTAGATATAGGCAAATTCTATAAATATAAGTTACACTTATTAACCCATGTTGAACCGCTTTTATCTGTTTCAGAAAAATTGTACTTTAGGTAAAGGAAACAGTGACTCCCAGAATTCAGAGCTTTTGTCACATTTATTTTCACATGTATCACAGTAAGGAAACAAAGTTACTGCATTTGTTTCTGTAAAGATATTAGCATTTTTAACAAATAGCTATGTGTGTTTAGATGGGTGGTAGGCGTGTAGCTGTGCATCATGTGCTCCCTGCATCTTTATTCAGAAGATCCTGGCTCAGTATGCAGAAATCTCTAAACTAGTGCATTGTCTGTGAACAGATCTAAGTTCTTTCTTACGTACAACATTATTCTGTTCACATAGAGCTATTTGTGACGAATGTCTTTGCTTTGCATACACAAAGAACTTCAAGTTTAAATAATGCTATGTAATTCTTGTAGTGACCATTTGCTTGTTTCCATACATTGAAAAAAAAATAAGCTGCTTTAGTTTTACATAAACACATCCTCATCGAAAGTTGTGTCCATGTTAAGTGTTTAAATGAATGAATGCTATCTCCTAGAGCCAGTCTGCTCGGGGTAGAAAATTGGGAAGATGCTGTCAAAGGGACTTTGTCTTTGTGAAGGATCAGATTACTTACCCTCATTTTACCACGAATTCAAAGACAACAATCACGGTTTTGTTTTCAAGAGTCACGCAAGACCGCTGAGACCTCACTGTGTTGTTGAGAACTAAAACTATAGGCAGGGCTAAACTGGAACTGCAGGTTCCACTTAACCACGGAGCCTCACAGCAGATACAGCGGGGTTATCTTTCTTCCTTTTTCAGATGTAAATCCAACCATCATTTCCTGTTGCGTAGTTTTGCTTTCATGGATTACATCCTAATAATCAGTCATCAGACAGTACAATTCTGTCTGCTCTGATGCATATTAATTGTGCCAGATTGGAAATGACATTCTATGAAAATTAGGGTATTTGTGTTTTGTACATTTTCTCCTCTTTCTCCTTTCTCTTAGCTTTGTAACCTAACATATGATGTTGAAACTAAAATTCTCTTTGATGAAACTGATAGTGATACTGATTATCATTCTTAGGTGACAGCAAAAGTTTTTTGTGACGTTCAAACATTTTGAAGCCAAGATTACTTTCTTTGTGCGTGCAGGTTTGTTTGTGTTGCAATGAAGAAATTCTACTGTAGCAATTCAGAGGGGTTTACCAACAGGCATACAATGACGTGCTCCATTGCACAGACTCACGTGTTTTCTTTTAACTATTTACTTCCCGTGACTGGAGTAGTTAGAATAATCAATATATTTTTTTAGTAAATCAAACTATACATTGCATCTGAATGCCAGTCGTTCATGCAGTTTTTGGTCTTTTTTCAAGTTGACACCATAATGACTGCTATATTTCTCATGCTTGTTAATATCACAGGGTAATAGGTGTGTTATTAATTTGGGTTGGTGTAACACATGTAAGAAATTTTACTGTTTTTCATCATCCTCCCTACCTTCCACTTTCTGTTTCTATATTTCTCAGCGATGACAGATATGGGAAAATACCACTTATAGTGAATTTTAAAGGCACATTCTTCAAGCTGAAAACAACATTTGAGTATTTGGTGTTGTAAGGCCACAAGTACCAGCACCTATTGAGCTCCTTTTAGTTAGGAATCAGTATTGGAAAGTAACACTTTTCTTTATGAGTCAAATATTCATAGCACACTGTAGTAACAGTAACTACAGTGTTACACTGTAACACTGTAGTTACAGAGCAAAGTAACACTTTGCACTATAAGTCAAATATTCATAGCACACTGTAGTGCACCATCTCTTCACCCTGTGGTGAGGAAGTGACTTTGTCTTTCACCTTCCTTCACAGACAAAGCCTGCATATGCAGCAGACTCTGCAGTTTGTGTCATTGTGTCGGGTTTTGTTGTCCTAATCTCTAATAACATTTTAGCCACAGCACTGCAATCCCCCAACAGTCCACTGCAATCGGGATCAAAAACTCCTTTCATAAGGCGAGACCGGGGCCGCACTAATCCCATTCTGCCGTATCAACAAGATGAGTGCCATTTGCTATAAATAACACTAGCTGCTTGCTTCGGTTCAATGCTGCACTTGAGTTTCTGTTTAAACTGTTTTACATGTGTCTACACAGACACAACACAAGTGGTGCTTACTAAGTAGTGCTTGTAACTTATGATCTTATTTAATGTCTTTAAAGTAAAGACTTTGTATCCTTACAGTAAGAGGTAATCTACTCATTGTCTTTTTTGTCAAAGTGTCGATGTTCTTCAGTGAAGAAATTTATATTAAAATAATTTTCGATACTCCAAGACTGTATATGTGTATAGGAAAAGTGGTAACTCTTACCTTTGCTGCGGTCTGTGTGTAACATGGTGTTGGCAGGAGATTACATGAGGCAACAATAGTAGCATATAACATTCCTGTTCCATGTGTGAAACAATTTGGATCTGGATCTCTTAAGTTTATCTGCATCTACACCTCTTCAATCGTTTTGGAAAACTTTGAGAAAGATAATTGTTATTGCTGATACAGTCAACGAAATGTAACAAAAGGAAACAAAAGACTTAAACCAACCAGGACATTAGTGAGAGTGGAACACACTCACAAAAAAACAGCCACAGAAAGGCTAAACAGGAATGGACTCAAGTAAGATGAGAAAAAGTTGGAAATACTGTATATTGTTTGGTCAGATGAAATAAACCTCTAGCTTTTTGTCCATAGACATGATGCCAAAGTTCTGAAAAAGGAACGCTTTTCAGACAGTAAAACTTGGAGGCTGTGGAACCGCAGTGCATTCAGAAGATCGAAAATTCTTATCCTGGAAGCAACTATGAGGAATAATAAGAAAAAAAATATTTAAAGTAGTATAGTGGGTAATAGTGGGTCATCTTGTCTTTCAAAGTGACAACTATAAGTCAACTCAAAAACGTATGAAAAACTGCCTTTAGAAGGGTTCAATTAAATTACATACAATTATTTTTACATAGAACTTGAATCAGTGTCGTCTCTAGATTACTATCAAATCTTGAGCATCTTAACAGATTGTCCATAGATATAAACATGCAGATGTACCTAAGAGAACTTGCCCACAACATATTAAAGTCACGCAAATAACTTTTATGATCACAAGGAAACAGTAGTTTAAAAAGAGAATTCTGAATAAAAGTGTGCTCATCTACTGTATAATAGACTCGTCCTTTAACACCATCTCCACTGCAGCAGAACTGACCCCTGAAGACCTTAGGTTACTGGGAGAGGTTTCCTGGCTCTGACTGGGAGAATTGAGTGGGTAAACTTCCCGTACTTTAGGTCTCATTTTAAATTAGTGTTACTTTAACATCTGTCTACTATAAGTTCAGCAGTCCTATCTTAAACTGTAATGTGTGATGTCAGCGAAATAATATTTGTATGGTATCACAGTAGCAGTATGACTCATTGGTGGGTCTTACGTCTACCTCACCTCAGGGAACATTAGTGGAATTAAATTAATTTTACCTTCAGCACATATGATTAACCAGATAATAATGCTAACACCCTTTCCCTGTTCGACTGTGCCAGGCTCATGTTTCAACACAGCCCACGGCTGCACTCTGACGTGAAGCAATCAATTAGAATCTCTGTCCATTGGACATGATGAGGAAGAATCTATTGAGTTCCTCCGCCAGCATTAATGTTTAATGTTCATTAATGTTTAATACATCTTCTTACTGTATTTTTCTCTTATTTTGCCCTCACTTCTCCCAGTCTGTCCTTAACAGAATAAATAACAACAGCTTGTAGTACCTTGTTTTCTGTACCACCCCTCCTCTGTCAATCCTCCCTCTCCTCCCACTCTTAAAAGCATGTGTCATACATGCACTTGGTCAAGTGGCCAAGCCCTCCTCTTGGGTGATAGACCACATTACTATGTGTATTCATGCATGAGCAGCCTGCTGCTATAGCCCAGTGTGTGTGGGACAATGTCAGCTTCTTGGTTGTACATACTTCATGTGAGGGAGGGCATGTTTATACATGCTAACATTTTTAATGAGTTTTAGATAAAGCGGTGGTTGACTGGTACTCTTATCTCAGTACTTCACATACAGACTTCCTTCAGAGAAAAATATATTACAATTACAATTCTAGGGAGTTTTGTTTCACTTCTCTGACACTGACCTTATGATAGAAATTCCCAAAAGTAATCAAGTCAACTTTTGAAACTCAACTAAAAAATACCTGCAAATTGAGTGCACACGGGCCATGTCCTGGACGTAGTTGGTCATATTTCACAGAGAATAAATCTGGCACGGTTCCTTTTAGCTACTCACAACACAAACATGTGGAGCTCACACACACACATCAGCAGATTGTGTGGGTGTGACCCATGGTGCGGGTCAAGGCTATCTCAGTTTTACAGCTCAGCGAGACAGTGCGGGTAAGTATTGAGTGAAAGACGGAGAGATTATGCGCAGCCCTGGTGCTTAGATTAAGACGGGGGGAGGAGAAGTCACATTTTCTACATGGTGCACAGAACAAAGCCCCTGTTGACGAGAGGACATTCCATCATGTAAACTGTGCCGACCTGAGACCACAGCTATACAAATTATCTACACATCCCTAATGCATGGATAAAGGACAGGTTTACAACTGTCCATTAGTTTACCCTGTTTAGACTAGAAGTTGGAAAGGTTTTCTGAGCTTGCAAGTATCATTATTTTGGGAGAGTTGATGGTTTTGGAATAAAATAAGGGTTTTTTTTATGATGAAGGCGAAACCACAACTTCTTTTATATTTAAACTCACTTTCAACTTCCTTTCAATTGAAGCTACACCCACAATACTTAAATCAGTCCTATTTCACATACTTGTGGAAAACACATTTTTTTCCAAATAGAAAGAGTAAAGTCATATTTCGTTGTAAATACTTTGTGTGTTTTATTAAAACAGGGTTGTCACTGAATTATAAGGCACTGTCCTGATCAGTGTTGTGTCATTGTCATCTGTAGTGTAGTGTCAAATGTGCAAATGTGTTGGCAAGGTAACATGCAATGGAAAAAATAGCATGGAGTTTGCATGATGTAACTTGTGGCTTCATGAATCGTGAGCTCAAACTGATGCACATTGCATCTTTACATAATGTAATAATAATCATGATTTTTTTTTTGCCACTTACTCGTGTTTACACATTTGCTGCACATGCCATGCAAAGGTTACAGTCATTGTTGCTGTCATTAATGTAACTTTTGACCCTGTGGATTCATTAACTTACATCTTTGGGGAATTGCACTTTATTTTAAGACCTTTGAGGCTTTTTTTAGATTACAGCATTTTTTTGGAGGGGCGTATGGGTTAAATTTCTCTATTTCATCCTTTGACATGTTCTGATACACAGACTTCCCCTTTGTAGGCACCATGACGTCAGTCTGTATTTAAATACAGGGCAAGAGAAGCCACATCCGCTCATATGTGGTCAAGAAGACGTATCCAGGTCACCTTTTAAAACCGGTTGTGTACACTTGTGATTTACTCTGCACATGAGTCAGTCTTTAAAGATGAATGTAAATATTGGCTAAGTATAGGTGCATGATATTTTTGAAAACACAGAAAATACGGCAGTCTGATTACATTTTCACTGGAGTTTGTCAGTGACATCAGTCATCTCATCAGAATTTCAATAAACAAATCTCCCCTCCCATCTGTCCACTAGTCAAGTAATAAGTAATATTAAGTAATAAGTAATAGAGGAAGTAATTAGATAAATAATCTAATTACTTCCTCTATTATTATTACTTGATCATTTTATCAGAGATGTAGTGTTGACCGTTGTCTGTGGTGGAGCTGAACAGTGTGATGTCGTCATGACTAGTGCTCCGGTTGGACGACTGTTTAAAAGTAAGAGCTAGTTGACAAATAATTGTATTTCAGTTTACCAAAAAAACCTTAGGTATTTTAGCCATACTAATGTGTTTTAGGACAGATGTTGAGGGCAACTAAAATGTATATAATGACATAAGTAAGTTAATAGAACCTTAATAAAGAAATCCAAGTGGTTACCTTCTGTCTGTTTTCCTAAGGCTGTCTCCAAATCTGTTGTGTGACTTCATCAGAGCTACACTGTTGATGATTTTTAGTCACATTGTCATGATTTGGAAGCACAGTTGAATTAATGTATTTAATGTCTTATGTGTGTATGTTTCAGCTCTTCTCTAAAGTTGTATCATGCACTACACAAATGAGTGTTTTCTAATTACTTCCTCTATTATTATTACTATTACTTATTGTGTTTGAGCAGTAATGCTAAACCGTAAAAACAGCACCAGACATGCAGAACGCTCACTTCCTCAACTTCTCTGAACCTTCCACTCGCTTTACATGTTTCTTGTCTTGTCTTGCTCCTCCAGTGACTGAGGATGTCCAAGCGCAGCTTGTTTGTTCGTCTAGTGCCCTGCCGCTGCTTGCGGGGTGAGGAGGAGACGGTAACATCGCTGGACTACTCCCACTGCAGCCTGGAAACTGTTCCTAAGGAGATCTTTAGCTTTGAGAAGACCCTGCAGGAACTCTATCTCGATGCCAATCAGATCGAGGAACTGCCTAAAGTAAGGCTGGCACAGTAACGTATAAAAACTGTACAACAAATACTTTCTTTGTTAACATTATATTTTTGACTTATAAAAATCATTCTCTTTTTCTTTTGATGCAGCAACTGTTTAACTGCCAGCTACTACACCGGCTGAGCATGCCAGATAATGACCTTACAGTGTTGCCAGCAGCGATAGCAAATCTCATCAATCTCAGGGAGCTTGATGTCAGCAAAAACAGTAAGTGGCATTTATTTTACTCTCTGGAGCTTTCCTTCACTGAGGGCAGAAGTCCTTTTGACTGGCAGCTCCAGGTCATTTATAGCTGTTTGTCAGATCAGGTTGCTGAGACATGAGAACTGACCACAGCCAGTGGCTCAGTGACCCGTGAAGAACAAAAGTGTGACTGTTCCTTCTGTCCTTGTGGGGCCACTAATGCTTTTGCATTTATTCAGTTTTTTTTTTTCAGAACATAAATTATTGAATAACAATTTCCAGGTTTTGCATTTACAATGCAATTCTACAACAGTTTTCTCTTTCATTATTTGTCAAAGTATGGCTTAAAACAGAAAAACCTGAAATGAGTAACAAAGACGAGAAGTAGACGAAACTTTTTACATTTTTAACCATAACATGGACAGGAACCATTTTTACTCACATGTGCAACTGTCAGCATGTTCTCAGGTACAAAGGAAAAACATTGGTCTCTGTGACATTTACCTCTAGCCTGTGGCTAGAGGTAAATGTTTTGTTTAGAACAAAAACAGAGTAACTAGCTGCAACCAATGTTGTAAAACTATGGCACATATTTTATATTGGAAGAATCCTACAGTGCACAACCAAACAAAAAATGTCAAAAAAGGATATGTAAATACAACGACCCCACAAGCCGTTTAGTTGAGCACAAATGTGACATACTAGTAGAAATGAAAGAAAGACACATTAATATCTTCAACGTGACTGAGTCTTCTGTTTTGTAGTTTTTATAGCAATCTGCTGCCAAATAGTGGGCATTATTCTATCCACCATTGTCACATTAACAAAACATTTTTTTTACAATAGATTAATAATGGTTTTCAGACAAATTAAGTGAAATTGAATAATTTTTCACACATGATCTCTCATAGTCCACTAGTATGCCACAGCATTTTTGGGAATCAGTGGCTGCAAGCATTACTCATCTGTTTAATAAAAAGGAACATTTCCCTAAACAATTGTTATTTCTTGTTTATCACTCAAATGAATCTCGAGCCTGCAAGCACAAAAAGCTTAAGTACAATGAGCCACTGAAAAGGGCTATTTGGAAACTTAACTTACTTTAAATTAAATCTACATCATTCACAGATGAGAATTAGATGAAAGCTATTCAATCCATATTGACATTAAAAGTAGCTTGTACTCCCTCAAACTCTGCAAAACGTTGTGTTCACAAACCTGGGTGGGTGGGAATAAGCCGTAACTGAGCTGGACACTTACTTACAGTTGTAGGTTGCACATTGTGAATCTGTCACAATG